AGCATTACATCAAACACCTTGTTTAGAAGTTTGTCCGTGACAATATGGTGATTCAGGTAATAGGCTTTATGTTTGGAGTTTGAAATACGGACATGCTTGACCTGTTTGTGTAAGGTAGATTATTGTTATGACTTCCAAGTCGGAGTGTCCGGAGAGATTATGTGACCTCTAAGTGCTTAAGCAAATAATGTTACGTAGAAAAATTTATGTGTCCACTGAATTTTGGTTAATACTTGATCTAATTCGAGAACATAAGTAATCACCTACTGTTAGGTCCAGTGTGCTTGTTGTTCTTTTCAGCATTAAGGCATATTTTCAAGCTTAATGTTGGAATGCCAAGATGCGGTGAAGATTTGTTTACCAGACTTACCATCCTTTCTTCTTTGAGTAAAATAAATTAATAAATTTTGCATGATGTTTCTTATTAAACATTTATCTTATGTTTGAGACATTCTAAGTGTGATCTAGTGCTAATCTCACGTAAAGCATATCCAACACTACAGAGACAATGATGAAATAATAACAATCTTTAGAATGTGCAAAAGAATAGGTTCATTCAGATTTTGGACTACATTTGCAAGGGTCTCATCTTTATTGAAACAATCATGCAAGACTTTTTTGAGATTGTAATTAAAGAGAAAACAAAACATTCCACTTTCAAAGCAAATCCTGATTCAAATGGAAATTAAGAGAATGACGTATGAGCAATCAGTCTGAAAGGTTGGTAGGTTAGTTATGAAACTCGGAGAAGCCTGCTTGTTCGACCAAAATAACTGGAACCGGAAACTTGTCCAGTCTGGTTCATTAATTGGATAGCTTTTAATCCATAATGATTGAAATGCCCTTGATTATAATTATCTTTTTATTTCCTTTTGAGGGTATTTTTGGTCTTTTTTAGAAGAGAAAAATTGAATATTTTTTTACCACATTATACTTGGTGCTTCTCCACCACTCTCTAGTTGTTGCTGTCCTCACTTTCTTGTTATAATCTCTCTCATTGTGTTTACTTTTTATCTCTAATCTCTACCCTCTATTAGTCACTTTTACCATCTCCTTTATCTTCCTTTTATGCTATCACTCTCTTTGGTAGCTATCCCTTTTCACCACCATCCTCTTTTCGATTCTGTTGTAATTCCACGTTGTGTATGGTCATCATATTTTTTTGGTCATCCAACTGATTGGAGTTTGAATCTTTTCCTTTTATTCCAACCATTAAGTTTCTTGATTGAGAGACACTTCAAATGTATATTTATCTACAATGTCTTTTACATATTTTGTCTATGAACAAGATCATTTAATATATTGGTCCGACTAGTAAACCAGTGACCTAGGGTCTGGCCAGATTGATACCTAGTCTGCATCTGATATTTATGGTTTCTAGTGCCGCCAATTGTGAAAATCTATTAACCATAATACCATAATGATCAATCCAGGAGCTTCACTTAAAACTGGACTAACATATGGGATCTGCCAAATATTTGCACCAATTTTAATTTTAATTACTTTCTTTTTTTCTCTCTCTAACACTCACTCTCTCTGTCTTTGCTCCTCTGTTCTATCTTTTTACTCCTGCTGGATTTATAGGGAGGATTATCTCTCCTTGTTTCTACATTTCGGTACTGGATAATCCAATATTGCTTATACTAGCAGCAATTAGCTGCCATGCTACATCGTTTTCCACATTAACTTTAATTCTTCTTCTCTCTCTCTCTCTCTCTCTCTCTCTCTCTCTCTGTATCTCTCTCTCTCTGTGTTTGCTCCTGTCTTCTATCTTTATACTAACTCTCGCTGGACTTAAAGTGAGGATCATCTCTCCCCAATTTCTCTACTTTAGGTATTCAAAAGTCCAACACTTCTTATTGCTAGTAGCAATTGGCTGCCATGTACATCATTTTCCACCTTATGATTCTGTGTGAAGACAGATAAAATAAGCTGTAATCGTTGTCTCTTCTTATATGACACTTCTCATGGGCATCTACGAACCTAGCTCCTTGATCTGGATTCAAGACTTACCACTCACCATTGCTAGAACTATGATTCCTTGGAGATCATCCTCCAGCTCTCATATATGTCTCTATTATGATGAAACTTGTCTTGTGGGAACTCCTGTTCATAACAAAATAATCCAGGTTTCCTTTCACAACATTGTTTACGGGAACTCTTCCAGTTAGTCAGCCAATAAATATTCCTCTACTCAACTTCCATCTTAGCTCTCTTGTTTTCAACAACATTGCCAGGTGATACATTTCTCTAATAAGTCGTGTGTGTGTCCAAGTTATGCTATGGGTTCTACAGTTATTTAGTTTCCTGCTGAACTGCAGTATGAAATACATCAAGTTGTATATCATTTAAAATAAATCTTTCACATGCATGGAAATAATGGGCTCAATGCACATTGATGCATAAAGAAGAATCATTAGTTATGAATCATTACTTTTTACATGCATTGGTGCTTAATCTAGGGGAAAAATTAGAAGATACCTTGAAATGTTAGTTATGAGGTTTATAGATGCAATAACTGATCAAACTTTTTACTAACACAAAGTTAACATGTAAAACAGTAGAAGATATTTAGTATTTAACTGTCGACAATGACACTCTTCTCAAGCTCACTATGTATACAATTGAAATACAAAAGTTGACAGCTTCGTATCTGTTTCTTTCTTTACATTTTTTGGTTGTAATTAAAAGTTGTTGTGGTTAGTAATGTTATGTCATCCACAAAGTGCTTTCCAGCAGTCCAGGACCATGCTACAATTTCTACATGCTTTAACCATGCATGCTATCTCTACATCTTTGGACATCTGTGACACTAGTCAGTCTACATAATGGCTTCTGTACATAAAGGCAAATTTTTTGGAGTATGAATTGAAAGATGTAAGTAACTAAACCACTTTAGATGTAACTAGCCTCATGATCTGACACATAAGACCATGAACTGGAACCCATTTTTGCCTTGGACAGCTAAAACATCACAATATATATATATATATATATATATATATATATATATATATATATATATATATATATATATATATATATATATATATATATATATATATATATATATATATATATATATATATATATATATATATATATATATATATATATATATATATATATATATATATATATATATATATATATATATATATATATATATATATATATATATATATAGTATATATATATATATATATATATATATATATATATATTATATATATATATATATAT